TGCTTTACAAGAGCTTCTGAAAGAACCAACTACAAATAGAAAGGAACAACCAGTATCAGCCTTTCTAAAAAATACCAAAAAATAAAGAACATCAATATAATTAAGAAATTGCATCAACTAAAGGGCAAAACAACCAGCCAACATTAAATGACAGTGTCAAACTCACATATATTGTCATTAATTCAAAATTTAAATCGACTAAATCCCCCAATCCAAAGACACAGACAGGCAAAAAAAGCCAAGACCCATTGGTATGCTACATCCAGATCCATCTCACATGCAAGGATACACAAAGACTCAAAACAAAGGGATGGAGAAAAATTTACCAACCAAATGGAGAGTAAAAATAAATAAATAGAAAGCAGGAGTTGCAATTTTTGCTGATAAAATACACATTAAAGCAACAAAGATCAAAAGAATCAAAGAAGGACATTACATAATGATAAAAGGATCAATGCAACAAGAAGAGCTAAAGATCCTAAATATATACGTACCCAATACAGGAATACCCAGATATATAAGACTTATAAGGATACTTGGACTCCCACACAATAAAAGTGGGAGACTTCAACATCAATATTAGACAGATCAATGAGACGGAAAGTTAACATCGATATTCAGGACTTGAACTCAGATCTGGAACAAGTAGACTTAATTAACATTTATAGAACTCTCCACTTAAATACACAAAATATACACTCTTATCAGTAGTACATCACACCTATTTACAGGTTTAAGTGAAATATTGGTTGGCTGCTTGTTAATTATTTTCTTCCCTCATTTTTTTTATGTCTCTATTATTAAACACAATTACAGGCATACCCATTTTTAGACTGCACTCTAGCCCGGGCAATAAAGCAACACCCCTGTTCTCTCTCCCTCTTCCTCTTTCTTTTTCTTCCTTTCCTTCATTCTTTTTTTTTATTCTTTCTCTTTCTTTCTTTCTCTCTTTCTTCCTCTAAAAAAAAAAGAATGAAAAGAAACAAACAAAGCCTTCAAGAAATATGGGACTATGTGAAAAGACTAAAGCTACATTTGATTGGTATACCTGAAAGTGATGAGGAGAATGGAACGAAGTCAGAAAACACTCTTCAGGATATTATCCAGGAGAATTCCCCCAACCTAGCAAGACAGGCCGACATTCAAATTCATGAAATACAGATAATACCACAAAGATACTTCTTGAGAAGAGCAACCCCAAGACATAAAATCATCATATTAGCCAAGGTTGAAATGAAGGAAAAAATGTTAAGGGCAGCCAGACAGGAAAGTCAGGTTACTCACAAAAGAAAACCTATCAGACTAACAATGGTCTCTATAGAAACCCTACAAGTCAGAAGAGAGTGGGGGCCAATATTCAACTTTCTGAAGGAAAAAAAATTTCAACCCAGAATTTCATATCCAGCCAAACTAAGTTTCATAAGCAAAGAAGAAATAAAATCCTTTACAGACAAGCAAATGCTGAGAGATTTTGTCACCACCAGGCCTGCCTTACAAGAGCTCCTGACAGATGCACTAAATATAAAAAGGAAAAATCAGTACCAGCCACTGCAAAAACATACCAAATTATAAAGACCATCAACACTATGAAGAAACTGCATCAACTAATGGTCAAAATAACCAGCTACCATCAATGACAGGATAAAATTCACACATAACAATATTAACCTTAAATGTAAATGGGCTAAATGCCCCAATTAAAAGACACAGGTTGGCAGATTGGATAGTCAAGACCCATAGGTATGCTGTATACAGGAGACCCATCTCACGTGCAAAGACACACATAGGGTCAAAATAAAGGGATAGAGGAATATTTACCAAGCAAAAGGAAAGAAAAAAAACAGGAGTTTCAATCCTAGTCTCTGATAAAACAGACTTTAAGCCAACAAAGATCAAAAAACACAAAGAAGGGCATTACATAATGGTAAAAAGATCAATGCAACAAGAAGAACTAACTATCCTAAATATATATGCACCCAATAATACAGGAGCACCCAGATCCATAAAACAAGTTCTTAGAGACCTACAAGGAGACCTAGACTCCCACATAATAATAGTGGGACACTTTAATTCCCCACTGTCAATATTAGACAGATCAAAGAGACAGAAAATTAACAAATATATTCAGGACTTGAACTCAGCTCTGGACCAAGCGTATCTAATATACAGAACTCTCCACCCCAAATCAACAGAATATACATTCTTCTCAGCACATCACACTTATTTTTAAATTGACCACAAAATTGGAAGTAAAACACTTCTCAACAAATGCAAAATTATGATAATCATAACAAACAGTCTCTCAGACCACAGTATAATCAAATTAGAATTCAGGATCAAGAAACTCACTTCAAAACCACACAACTACATGGAAACTGAACAACCTGCTCCTGAATGACTACCTGGTAAATAATGAAATTAAGACTGAAATAAATAAGTTCTTTGAAACCAATGAGAACAAAGATACAATGTACCAGAATATCTGGGACACAGCTAAAGCAGTGTCTAGAGGGAAATTTACAGCACTACATGCCTACAGAAGAAAGCGGGAAGGATTTAAAATTGATACCCTAACATCACAATTAAAAGAACTAGAGAAGCAAGAGTAAACAAATTCGAAAGCTAGCAGAATACAAGAAATAACTAAGATCAGAGCAGAACTGAAGGTGACGGAGACACAAAAAACCCTTGAAAAAAAAATCAATGAATCCAGGAGCTGGTTTCTTGAAAAGATTAACAAAATCGATAGACTACTAACTAGACTAATAAATAAGAAAAGAGAGAATAATCAAATAATCAAATACCATTTTATATTTATCAATATAAAATGATAAAGGGGATATCAACACTGATCCCACAGAAATACAAACTACCATCAGAGAACACTGGTCATCAGAGATAGTGGTCTATTGATTTTGTTAATATGTACACCTCTACACAAATAAACTAGAACATATAGAAGAAATGGATAAATTCCTGGACATATACATCCTCCCAAGACTAAACCAAGAAGAAATCAAATCCCTGAATAGACCAATAACAAGTTCTGAAGTGAAGGCAGTAATTAATAGCCTACCAACCAAAAAAAGCTCAGGACCAGAAGGATTCACAGCCAAATTTTACCAGAGGTAGAAAAAGGACCTGGTACCATTCCTTCTGAAACTATTCCAAACAACAGAAAAAAAAGAGGGATGCCTCCCTAACTCATTGTATAAAGCCAGCATCATCCTGATACCAAAACCTGATAGAGACATAACAAAAAAAGAAAATTTCAGGCCAATATCCCTGATGGGTATCGATACAAAAATCTTCAATAAAATACTGGCAAATAGAATCCAGGAGCACATCAAAAAGCTTATCCACCACCATCAAGTTGGCTTCATCCCTGGGATGCAAGGCTGGTTCAACATATGCAAACCAATAAACATAATCCACCACATAAACAGAACCAAAGACAAAAACCACATGATTATCTCAATAGATACAGAAAAGGCCTTCGATAAAATTCAACACCTTTTCATGGTAAAAACTCTCAATAAACTAAGTATTGATGGAACAAATCTCAAAATAATAAGAGCTATTTACAACAAACCAACAGCCAATATCACACTGAATGGGCAAAAGCTGGAAGCATTCCCTTTGAAAACTGGCACAAGACAAGGACGCACCCTCTCACGGCTCCTGTTCAACATATTGGAAGTTCTGGCCAGGGCAATCTAGGTTATATGCTCCTTATGAGAATCTAATGCCTGATAATATGTCACTGGTTTCCTATCACCTGCAAATGGCGTCATCTAGTTGGAGGAAAACAAGCTCAGGGGGCTCCCACTGATTACATATTATAATGAGTTATATAATTATTTCATTATATAGTACAGTGAAATAATAATAGAAATAAAGTGTACAATAAATGTAAGGCACTTGAATTATCCCAAAACCATCCCCCTACCCTGGTCCATGTAGAAACTGTCTTCCACTAAACTGGTCCCTGATGCCAAAAAAGTTGGGGACTGCTGATAGAGAGCAAGAATCCTTAGACTCTCATCACTTATCAATCCCACAAATATACCTCAAAAGCAATGGAATGAAGTCCCTTGGAGGAAGAGTAGCTAAAAGACAAAGAGAAAAAGAGGAAGAAAAAAAGTCAGTGCGGATACAAAATGGGATGTGACTTAAACCATGAGTAGGGGAGGAGCATAAGGAAAGGCCAGGTGATGAACACTTTCTCATACAACACCACATTGCCTCTCTTCAGGTGGAGAATTCAACCACTGTGGAGATTTTTTTTTCCAGGTTAATTTCCACATTCATATTACGTAACAAGCCGCTCTTCATACTGTTATGGGAAGCAACAACTTTTGACCATGCACATTATAAGGAACTTCTAAATCAGAGTCATTTTATCTACACAGGTGAGGTCCTATTTATGCTAGTCATGATGCTTTCAGTTTTTTCCACATTACCTTGGAATCTGCCACTTTATCCAGACCTAACTCTTGAATGACTCTGTTAATCCGTTCGTTTTTTTCACGATTCGACATAGTCGTTGGAAGCCGAAGAGCTGCTGAGAACTGTAAATTTTCTCTCACCGTCAGAGTGCCCATCACAACATCATCCTTAAGGCAAACAGCATTTTGATGAGACATAATGAGTCTTTTCTAAGACCATGACTGTTTAGCATATGTAACTTAATCCACAAAAATAACATAACAAAGGTAAAGTTCTAGTTAATGATGAACCTGCAATTCTACAAATGGCTGTAACTACATAGAAGTCTGCAAAGCCTGATATAATCATTTTACCCCTTATCTGTACACCCAAATAGAATGCAAGTAATTATATTAATTACCAGCAGACATTTCCAGACTGTTTCATACAAGGATTTGCCAAGATATCTTTCTAAGCTAGGGGAAAAAAAGGTGAAGGAAAGGCAAAAAAGGATAACAGCAGTATCTTTTAGAAATGATACAAAAACTACAGTTGGTATCATTGTCCTTACAAGGGCCATATTCCAGATGCTCCCTGCCTTTTCACATAAGTGTCTATGGGAAACTAACAAAAGCTGCTGTAAAAAAAAGTCAGTTCAATGATCATGTTACATAATCTATCGGAAGCACACTGAACTATCAGCCAAAGCTCTTACCCACATAGAAACTGAGGAAACAAAAAAATGCAAACCCACTAATACTTACTTGTACCACGTAACCTGAATTACATTTGAAATTGGCAGGTCTCAGCGCTCCATTTATCAGAACATCTCCAGATAATCCACTTGGATCTTTCCTTGCAGCTAAGACATCTAATAACCTGTAAGAGGACATACATGTTGTGGGTCTAATAATCTATAAGAGAATATATATGTTGTGGATTTTTTTCTCTCCAACACAGGGATATATCATACACGTTGTGGGGGTTTTTCCCTCCAACACAGGGATATATCTCATGGCTACTTTGAATCCAAATTCTGCTTTAGTTAGAAAATTAACTGGTTGCCCAGGCACAATGGCTCACACCTGTAATCCCAGCACTTTGGGAGACCAAGGCGGTGGGATCACCTGAGGTCAGGAGATGGAGACCATCCTGGCCAACATGGTGAAACCCCATCTCTACTAAAAATACAAAAAAATAGCTCAGTGTGGTGGCACGTGCCTGTAATCCCAGCTACTTGGGAGACTGAGGCAGGAGAATCGCTTGAACCAGGAAGTCAGAGGTTGCAGTGAACTGAGATCACGCCACTGCACTCCAGCCTGGCTATAGAGCAAGACTCATCTCAAATAAAAATAGAAAAAAAATTAACTGGTCAAGAAAGTCTGTGGTTTAACTAGAATTATATTTTTTTAAATTATCATCTTTCCCTTTCCATCAAACATTACAATAAAGCCCCAAAACATAAAGCAAGACACCATTGGCTGATCAAGCACAGATCTCCCAAAGAGACCTTCCAGTTGTCTGACCTTGGAGGTAGCAACACAGGCAATGTGCTCTTTTATCTAAGACTCATGCCTTTACTTACAACTTCTGCTCCCTTTCCCTACTTTCAATATTCTCCCATTCTTTTTCCTCCTCATTAGCTGATAACATGGTCAACTGCTACATGTCAATCACTTTATAAAGACCTATTAGTAAAGCTAACCTAATAAGACTACTGATCCTTGGGACAGAACCACACAAATACAGTTATCCACAGCACCTAGAACCAGACCTGATATGCACAGCAAATGCTCAATAAATACCCGCTCACACAAAACAGTGGCTTTTAAAAGCACATTCAAAGTGCACAGAAATAAAGCTTACTTATACTCTCTTATACTCACGAAGATTTGCCTCCACCTGTGGGTCCCAGGATGGCATTGAGGCCAGGTTTCATGATTCCACTGTAAACACAAAAACAGACTGATTTACCATTCCACTTTAAATCAGGTTCTATTAATTTAGGGTCTGCATTGAATATACTCAATGAAGGCTTATGAAATTACAAACAGAAAACAAGCACAAACCAGCTCTTAAAGAAAACAAAAAAACAGGCCAGGCATAGTGGATCAGGCCTATAATCCCAGCACTTTGGGAGACCAAAGCAGAAGGACTGCCTGAGGCCAGGAGTTCGAGACCAGCCTGGGCAACATAGGGAGATACTGTCTCTACTTTGAAAAAAAAGATTGTTGATTTGATGTGTAATAGACAACGGATGTTAATCACTGGTCAAGTCCTACAAGAAAAATGGCATAAATTCTTTTCACTTATTCTCTAACCCTTTTATATTTTCTGGAAAATAACATTCAACATTCCTTGAAATAACTAACAGATTCTTGTGAAGCATCTCTTACTGCTCTTAACACAGTGTGAAATATATGCCGTGTTCTGAGTACTGCTTGATGATCAGTACTGTATCTTCAAGTGGTCTCATTTGCTACCTAGTCAAATTCTACATGTTAATAAGTCACTTATTTGTGGAATACAGATAGACGTATTCTCACTGCTAAAATCTAATTAGCCCAAGAAGCATATAAGTAGAAATCCAGAGGCTAGGAAAAATCACTTCAGGATAAAAAGAAAAAATTACCCAAAGGAAATAAAAGGTCCTAATCCATTTAGAAAAGTAAAAGATATACCCTCAAGATATATCATTTTCTTCCTTTTTAAGAGTCAGAAAAATACACTGGAAAATTCCAAGTTTAGAAGCAGGAGGCATCACTTTTGTAAGGGCACCCTTTAAGAATATGAAGACATGGTACAGACAGAAAGCATGTTTCAAACAAAATGGGTGTCTGAGGGTAGTGGATATTCAGATAGAGTAGAATGGTGGGAAAATGTATGGCAGTGTTGACTGTGCTGAGACCCAAGAAGACAGAAAATAGTTTGATTTTATCCTAAAGATAGCAAGTAGAATGATAAGTAGAAGGAACTAGAGAAAGGAGAATTTGGTTAGGCACGGTGGCTCATGCCTGTAATCCCAGCACTTCGGGAGGTTGAGGTGGGGGAATCACTTGAGGTCAGGAGTTCCTAGACTAGCCTGGCCAAGATAGCGAAACCCCATCTCTACAAAAAATACAAAAACTTGCCAGGCGTGGTGGCAGGTGCCTGTAATCCCAGCTACTCGGGAGGCTGAGGCAGGAGAATCACTTGAACCCAGGAAGTGGAAGTTACAGTGAGCCAAGATCAGGCCACTGCACTCCAGCCTGGGCGAGACACCATATAAAAAAAAAAAAAAAAAAAGAAAGGAGAATTCAGGGTGGGGCCTGGCTTGGTCCTTTCAAAATACCAGTGTCTATGCCCAGTCTCTCCTTAGAATTGGCAAGTAGGTTACAATGTATTCTACAGAGAAAGTAACATCTACTCCAGATGGAAGGTCAAAGTCAAAGACTACTTCATTCACAAATAATGATTAGCACAGAGGCCAGCCCTATGATCCTATACAATTATGAGTGATAAGCAACTGCACCACAGTGCTTAAACCCAAGACGCCCTGAACATTTACTGCCTGTTGTCCTTGAACTGTCACAATTGTACAATGGCTGGTAGGTTGCAGGGTGAAATGTAGCTTGCACTTTGCTCTTTTAACTGGGGTATCTCTCACCAAAACACTGGACAAAGACAACAGGAATTAGGTAAACCAAGAGCAAGATATAACAGAAAAATCTCTTATTCTTTTGGTGGCCTTTCCCCTCTAATTTGTAAAACAACACACTAATGATTGAGCAAATTTTCAAGGTGCATTTATGTATAGCTCTTGATGCATCTTCTTTATAAATAGCTTCCTAATAACTGCCTCTAAAATTAGCATAGACTTGTTACTCACTAAGGCTTCATTGTCAGAAAAGCTTTCCAGGTTTCTAAAATACCTACTCAAAGAAAGACCCAGAGATCCTGAATGATTAACCAAAACCTCAACATGAATGTTCTAAGACAAAGAGCTTGGCTTACTACTTTGGCATGACACTGTGACATTACAGAAAACAACAGTATCCAGTCATAAATGCCAAGAGTTTCCACTGGGAGCAGTGGCTAATTCCAACTCCATCCACTTGACACAATGATCAAGTGTTTACTGTGTACATGCAAGATATTCTTCTAGGGCATGGGAGGGTTGAGAACAAAACAAACAAAGTCCAAGGACTTGAGGAGTTTACATTCTAGTTCAGGGACCAGCATTTTTCTTATACAAAGGGTTGTTGGAACAGGGCTGTGCTCATTCGCTTACGTATTACCTAGGGCTGCTTTCATGCTACACCAGAATTGAGTAGCTGCAACACAGATGCGTGGCCCCATAAAGCTGAAAATATTTATTAATACTATCTGGTCCTTTATGGAAAGAGCCTGCTGACTCCTGTTCTAGTCTATGGTCTATATCTCACTGACCTGCCCACTCCATCCTCCACCCTTTTAGCATCCTTGAAACTGCATTTCCCACCCTTATTTACTACTTTACAGCATTTGCGTGCAGGTTGGTGTCCTTCACTACACAGTAAAATCTGTCAACATGAACAGTGTGCCACAGTCAGCTCTCATACACTCCTGCCCATGACATACAGCACAGTGGTTATAGACCACTGAACAATAAACCTGGAACACAGGGAATCAAATTCACCCCCAAATTTCCTGTCACTTATATCACACTCTAGTGGATAATAATCAATCCCTTGGTCTTGACTCCAATTTAGGGTCTGGGCTCCTACTGAGTCTTCTAATCTTTTTATCACAGTGAAAGTGTGTTCTGAATCTCCCATTAGGCTTTAAGGCTTCTCTGAACAGCGGATTTATCTGTGTCTCTAGCATCTCACACAATGTCCTGCACTAGCAGGCATTCAAACTTTGTTGAATAAATAAATTTCTGCATTGTTATAAATGGGAATTTACTTCTAAAAAGACAAAAATGTTTTCACTTTTTAAAAAGTTGAGAGGAGATAGCTGGAGGGTGGGGAGATTGTTTATATTATGGAATATGAAAATCAGCAAGTACATCCTGAAGGTACATTCTTAAGGTAGTGGCCGATTTTCGTATTCTATAATATAAACAATCTCGCCACCCTCTCTTGTCAATTAGAGCTAGATTTTTCACTTTTTGAGATTTTACAAACATAGAAATATAGACAGAATCTTGAGGGTTTAGATTGGAATTGGAGACGTTAATGAGAAGTCATAGGTTTTAATCCATATATAAAGACAGCTATAGAAAGATAGAGATGGAAATTCCCAGGGTGCTACAGGAATGGTCACCCACTGCTCCTCCAGCTCCTCTCCCACCTGCTTTAGCCAGATCTGTATGTGCTTACACACGGGAGGTAGTTTTTTAAAAAGTTATACATGTATGTGTATGCACTTGTGTGTAAACATATACGTATAACATATATTCTCTAGGTCTCACTCCACTGAGAAAGCCTAGAAGCAATGACACAGATCTCCCACGGGATGACTCCTGCTCTCACACCCTCCTGCCTGTAATCCCAGCACTTTGGGAGGCTGAGGCAGGTGGATCACAAGGTCAAGAGATGGAGACCATCCTGGCCAACATGGTGAAAACCCATCTCTACTAAAATACAAAAATTAGCTGGGCGTGGTGGCACCAGCCTATAGTCCCAGCTACTTGGGAGGTTGAGGCAGGAGAATTGCTTGAACCCAGGAGGCGTAGATTGCAGTCAGCCAAGATCGTGCCACTGCACTCCAGCCTGGTGCCTGGCGAAGGAGCGAGACTCTGTCTCAAAATAAATAAATACATAATACATAAATACATAAATTTGAAACCATTTAAAATGTTATTAAACATTTTCCAAGAGTATAATGAATTTCTCTGAAGATAACAGGACATCCACATATCTATGGGAAAGAATAATTTTTTTCATAACATCTTCAGTGTTGATGAGGGAAAGCTCAAATGCTGGGTATTCTGACAAACTAAGCATAAGAGAAGGATTTTCCTAAGGCAGAAGAATCACAACTTTTTGAATTCTCATGGTCAGATTTTATTTTATCTTCTTGCCCACACAGGTTATAGTGACTTAGTTCTAGAAGTAAAATTACAAAATGTCTAGAAGTGAAATTACAAAATGTCATCAGCGTTTTTGGAATGCAGTTAATTTACCTATTTGAATGGTGATGGTGCTATCAAACACAAATCACAAGTAAGATAAGTGACAGCAGCCCTTCCCCTACCCCCAGAAACTGTATTGAGAGTTGGAGCCAGCAGATAGGAGAAAGACTGGAAATACTGCAGCCAAAAAAGGTATGATCTTTCTTGGGGATACTTAAACAGGAAATGTGAGTAAGCAAAAACACCAACCCTTGATGTCCTTTCAACTAAAACGTGAAAGAATTGTAAGACCTAATTGCATTTTTATAAGCCTAGTAAGTAACACAGTTCTATTCACACAGTAAGGATGAACTCATCTATTGCTATAATGCATGCCATTTGACCATTAAAAAAAAAAATGCGTGAAGCCTTGAGCAGATGAGACTTCTAGTGCATCAAGTTACTAATCTACTAGCTTTAAAAGATAAGATAAGCAAGATAAATGTACCCTCACAAAGTACATTTTTGTTTTTCTTTTGAGACAGGATCTCACTTTGCCACCCATTTGTACAGTGGGACAATTATATACAGCCCACTTCAGCCTCAATCTCCCAGATTCAAGCCACACTCCTGCCTCAGCATCCTGAGTAGCTGGGACTACAGGGGCATACCACCACACCTGGCTAATTTTTTTTATTTTTAGTAGAGACAACGTCTCTCTATCTTGCCCATGCCTGTGTCAAAATCCTGGGTTGAGGCAATCCCCCTGCCTTGGCCTCCCCAAAGAGGTAAGAGCATGAGCCACAATGACCAGCCTGCATTTTCAATATATCCAACCTGCACAAATTCAAGTCATTTGTTACCTTCTACCTCTCTCTGCAAAAAAACCTGATGTAACCAATATTTGCTTGATTATTACTTTACAAAGAGCTTGTCAGCTTTTGAAAACAGTTTAATTTATCCTGGCACGCAGTAAAAGATAAAAGCTTTGCATCACCTTTATTCTTTTACTCAGGTTTTCTTAACCTGCACAAGAATGCAACAAGAAAGTAGGCATGACAGCACGTGTTGCTGCGTACAGAAAGTTCTCATCCTGCCCAGCTCCTGGCATCAGCCCAGACAAGTCTCAGATCCCCATGTTTCTTTCCCACTTGGCCCCAAAATTTTCTCCCAACCTTGTCATTTCCTAGTCTTCCAAAAGGATTGACTGCTATGAACAGAAAAGACCACAGTCCTGTACAGAACATCAAGAACACATAAGAACATCTGATTCCATAAAGGTTTGTAGCCACACCTGGCCAAAGGGCTCATCTATAACCACTCCTCCATTTGCCTTGTCCAGGAGTAATTATTTCCCCCATTAAATGCACAAACAAAACATATAGGCCATGCTATCTGAGCAAACCCAAATATACTCCCCACACCACAGAGGTGAAGAATTGGAGTCAATTCTCTAGAACTCAGAAAAACAGTAATAACCCTAATGGCTAACATCTGTGAAGTAACAGAGACATCTGGAAGGGAGTAGCTTCTATAGAAATGCTCACTTCCCTCCTTGCTCTACCACCTACTTCACCACCCCATGATAAATTCAATGCTGGATGAAAAGAATGAAAGTTATAGTTACTAGGTTCTTTAAGGAATTAAATGCATTGATTTGGATCCTAAATTCTCCTCACTTTGGACTTCAACTGCATAACTTAAGCTAAACTCTAGTTGTCTTATATTTAAATATTTTCTGCCAGTTTGTATATTAGAGGGAAACATTAAATAAAATTGTTAGAGATTATAAACTACTAAAAATGGACCACCCATTTAAAACAAGTCTATTTGAAAAATAAAGTACTTTCACATTATACTGTCATTTCAGCCTCTTTGCCTTTAGAACATAAGGGAACATTTCACAGATTAGAAATGAAAGCTCAGAGATTACAACTATATGCCCATGATCAAAAAGCATATACAGCCAGGCCTCTTCCACCAAATCTCGAGTCTCACCCAGGAAAAATTAAATAACACATTGACTTAGTTTCTCAAACAAAAGTTGATTACATGTGGTACTTTTTTGTTTAGACAGAGTCTTGCTCTCTGGCCAGGCTGGAGTACAGGGGCACAATCCTGGCTCACTACAACCTCCAACTCCCCGTTCAAGTGATTCTCCTGCCTCAGCCTCCTGAGTAGCTGGGATCACAGGCATGCACCACCACACCCAGCTATTTTTTTGTATTTTTAGTAGAGACAGGGTTTCACCATGTTGGCCAGGATGGTCTCGATCTCCTGACCTTGGGATCTGCCCACCTCGGCCTCCTAAAGTGCTAGGATTACAGGTGTGAACCACCACACCCAGCCACATGTGATACATTTTTTTAAAAGCCTGGCAGTTACTTTGAGAGTTAAACATATACTTAATATGTGATCGAATTATTTCACTCCTAGTTTAGCCAAAACAAATGAAAGCATGTGTCTGTATATCTGTGTAAAGACTTGTACAAAAATGTTCATAGCCACTTTCTTAGAAATAGGCAAAACCTGTGAGGTTCACTGTAGGTAAATTAAAAAGCTATATTTTTAAAAGTTCATGTACATACTTGATATTCGACAGTATTTCTTTCTGAACTGGTTTTCGACCAGGTAGAAAGCCATTCTTCACTTTTACTCGATAGCAGATGTTATGAAAACTTAACACTGCTCCTTCAGCAAATGCCTTCAGATCGTTGGAAGTTGTCGAGGGGAAGCCATTGGTGTTTCCTTGTGACATTGGGATAAAAACTTCGATATTACTAGAAGACATCTGGAGAATTTTTGTCTTTTTGTTTTTCTGTAGGCAAAAAAGCAATCATAAGTTGACAGTCCAGATAAATGAGATTGCAAACACTAGATAACAATACACTTAAAACAGTCCATTTTCAAATGTGCAGCAATAAGTAGCTTGATTTCCAATGAACAGCCTATACCATTGTGATAAGAACATCCTAAAAACCTAAATGTGAAGACAGGCACAACTTTGAATGCATAAACTACAATTAAATGTCGAATATATCCCTAATAAGTAAATGGGCCCCTAATAAGTAAATAGGAAGGATATGAAAATTACTAAAAACTGACAAAGCTGGAAAAGGATGGGTGAGGGTTAGACTTGTCTGGGTTGAAAAGCATATTACGATGTTAGTCAAGTGCTGGGACAGGCTACATGATCATCATCAGAACCTCTGTATTTTTGTTTTTTTTTCTTTTGACAGTCTTGCTCTGTTAGCCAGGCTGGAGTACAATGGCATGATCTCAGCTCACTGCAACCTCCACCTCCCAGGCTCAAGTAATTCTCCTGTCTCAGCCTCCCGAGTAGCTGGGATTACAGGTGTATGCCACCATGCCGAGCTAAATTTTTGTATTTTTAGTAGAGACAGGGTTTCACCAGTTTGGCCAGGCTGGTCTTGAACTCCCGTCTCAGCCTCGCAATGTACAAGGATTATAGGCATAAGCCACTGTGCCCAGCCTATATTTTATTTTCAAGACCAGCCTGGCTAACACGGTGAAATCCCGTCTCTACTAAAAATACAAAAATTAGCCAAGTGTGGTAGCAGACACCTGTAATCCCAGCTACTGGGGAGGCTGAGGCAGGAGAATGGCTTGAGCCCAGGAGGCAGAGGTTGCGGTGAACGGAGATCGCCACTGCACTCCAGCCTGGGTGATAGAGTGAGACTCCATCTCAAGAAAAAAAAGAAGAAAAAAGAACCTCTGTATTTTTTTTAACTGGGGAGTTTTAGCATCATTACTATCAAATGGGGCTTAGCCAAGCAGTCCAAGACAGGAGAAATTTCTCTGAATTTATAGCTCCAGACTTTACACTGCTAGTTGTTATGTACCTTCAATCAGCAAAGAAAGTAAACTCCAAAACTGATTGCAATTACATAATCATTTCCTTAATGAACAAACATATTTAAATTCTAGGAAGATTTAAACTTAGGTATGAAAATCATTAAGTAAATCAAATCAAAAGTTAAGCAAAAAATTTAAAACAGAAAAAGAATGTTAAATATGTAAATAAAATGTGAAATATTTCATTCAACAAATTACAAAAGGCCTCAAAAAGATTTATTAGAGTAAGATCTTAAGACGAGCTTAATGGCTTGTGAAACAGGTTGGAAATGTTAACTTCAATAAATGTAGTTTTAATTTTTAAAAGTCAAAGTAATCCATGGCGAACTTTCTCTCCGCCTATGACAGAGTAGCTGTTCCAAACAGACAGTCCTTCTAAGCACAACAACAAATGTAGACAAAAAGTGTAAGAAGGAACCGTTGAAGAGTTCTGTCTGATAAAAGCAACCAAAGTGGCCAGGACGTGAGGAACCAAAATCCTGGAATGGAGGGACTGAAGCACTGAAATAAACTGCATTCTGCGTGCCCTTTCCTCTTGAGATAGGTAGTTGCACATGAAAATTGCACACACCTGGGGCACAGCTCAGAACAACTAAGCAAAAGGAAGCTGCCAGAAGGAATGAGTCTGTTTACTGAAGCCTCTACTATTTCTGAGCAAATATTTCAGCAGTCTCTCAGCACTAAGGAGACAAAATTTTGCTGGAGTTGAGGGCCTAGCAAAAAGGAGCCCTGGAAAGAGATCCCAGAAGCATTATCCTCTGGGAATGTGAGCAAACCAAAAAACCAGTCTCTGCTCAATCAAGGCAATCTGCTCAGGCTGCTAGAAGAAAGTTAAAGCCACTCTATAAGAAGGTGTCATGTAAATTTTCAATCAAAAATTGCCAGGCATTGGGAATCTCTCTGAATCTGCTGTGATTCTGAGGGCTGCCTGACTCACGAATCGTTAAGTTTAAAAATAATGAAAAAAAAATTTTTTAATTGCAAGGTATGCCAAAAAAAAGAACCTGATGTTCAAGAAGTGAGAAAATGGAAACCGACCCACAGGTAACGTGGATTGGAGTGAACAGACATTGACATTAAAACAAAAGATTGATGTGTTTAAGAAAATTAAAAGAAGGACTATCACCAAAGAACCAAGATCTACAAAAGCAAATGAAAATTAAGAACTCAATAGATGAGTTTAACAGCAGCTTTCCTAATTATGACACAAAATTGGAAAGAGAACTTAGTGAACTGGAAGACTGGTATACAGAAAACATTCAGGATGAAGATTATGAAGGATGAAAATCATTATCATGAAAGAGGGAAAAATCTCCTTATAAAAAAAATGAGAACTACATAAAAGAGTACAACAAACAAATGGGATAAGATGAAAAAGGTCTGTCATACACATTCCTGGAGACCTGAAAGAGGAGGGAAAATGGAGCAAAACATGTACTTAGACAGAATCAGTATTTGAAGAAATACTGGCCAGTATTTTCCAAAACTGACAAAGATATTAAGCTGCAGATTGAAGAAAACCTAGCAACACCACAGAGGATAAATACAAAACACCAAATCTAGGCTTATCATAATAAAACTGCCAAAAACCAAAGTCATCTCCTAATAACTGTTTCTGTAATCCAGAAACATACCATATTTACAAGTCTATTTATTTGGAGCCTGGAAAAGTAGAAACCTTTTAAAGACTGACATCCAGCAAATTCAAGGTACACGCATGGGTTTTAATCTGTGAACACAATGAATGGTAATCATTAGCCAAAATTCTGTTCTCTGGAAGCAGTGAAAGAGAAGACACAAATACAGTCAGCAGCCCTGTCCCTAAGTTCTGTATCTGAGGATTCAACCAATCGAAAATGGAAAATATTTAAAAATAGGGCATGGTGGTTCATGCCTGTAATCCCAGCACTTTGGGAGGTAGAGACAGGAAGATCACTTGAATGCAGGAGTTTGAGACCAGCCTGTACAACATGGTGAAATCCTATCTCTATCAAAAATACAAAAAATTAGCTGGGTATGGTGGTGCCCACCCATGGTCTCAGCTACTTGGAAGGCTGAGGCAGGAGGATCGCTTGAGCCCAGGAGGCGGACATTGCAGTGAGTCAAGATTGTGCCACTGCACTCCAGCCTGGGTGACAAAGCAAGACCCCATCTCAAAAAAAAAAAAAAAAAAAAAAAAAAAAAAAAAAAAATATATATATATATATATATATATTTAAATATATTTTTTTTTTTAAAATTAAAAAAAAAAAAAAAAAAAAAAAAAAAAAAAAAAAAAAAAAAAAAAAAAAAAAATATATATATATATATATATATTTAAAAATAAATATAAATGGATGGTTGCGTTGGTACAAAACATGTACAAAATTTTTTTTCATCATTATTTCCTAAACAATACAGTATCACAACTATATAACATTTACATTGTATTAGGTATTATAAGTAATATAGAGATGATTTAAAGTATATGGGACAATGCATGTACATTATATGCAAATACTATGCCATTTTATATCAGGAACTTGAGCATATGTGGATTTGGGTGTCCGAGGGGAATCTTGGAACCAATTCCCCATGGATCTCTAGATATAACTGTAATGTATGTAATATATGGACTTCACACCTTTAAAAAATTTTAAACCATCTCCTCATGTCTTCAGAAACCAAAATACACCAATTCCAACACCAGCAATCACTTCTCCTACTGCCATCCCCATTTGATGTTCATTCAGCCACTGAGGACCCTTTCTAACCTTCTCTCAAGACTTCTTAAAAGTATCAAATAATTTATTGCTTGAATTTAAATAGGTCACTGACTCAAGATGGAAATTTTAAAGAGACTTTGTGAGGCTTCCACAAACAAAAGGCAACAACTAGAGCTAAAGTACCCAAAAAAAGAGTGATCACCCACGCCCATACAAGACAGGGGGTAACAATTATAAATTCAATCACAGTCTTGGAAGTGTGTGCAGAGAAAGAGTTTGCCTTTCTCGTGATAAGATTAAATGCATAATTCACATTAGCCAAGAATGGCTTCATTCCTGGCTGGGACTCTAATAATCTTCCTTGGGGCGATGCAGGGCCTTAGTCATTCATGAGTCACAAACCAAGTGATGAGTCACAAACCAAGTGATTAGACAGGTATAACCAAGGCACCATCCAGCTGAAGCACGTTACACCAAAAAGAAAGGAGAAAACTAAACCAAACTTCAATTCTTTTCTTTTTGGAGATGAAGTCTTGCCCTGTCACCCAGGCTGGCATGATTTCAGCTCACTGTGACCTCCGCCTCCCGGGCTCAAGAAGTTCTCCTGCCTCAGCCTCGTAAGTAGCTAGGACTTGCACACCACCACACCCAGCTAATTTTTTGTATTTTAGTACAGATGGGGTTTCACCATGTTGCCCGGGCTAGTCTCAAACTTCTGAGCTCAGGCAATCCACCCACCTCAGCCTAGCAAAGTGCTAAGATTACAGGCATGGGCCACCGCGCCCAGTGCCCAAACTTTAATTCTAACACCAATATGGATCAATACACTTACTCTAAGAAAAAAATATAGTAAGGACTAAATAAAGAAAATATAACAACTCAGCACCAGACTCATCTCAAAGTGCCCCATCTCTAATTAATATAGTATTCTGGGTCTAGGGAATTCTTTAAATGTAGCAAGTACCTTTAAGCAAACACCAGTCTTTTCCCTATGTTCAGAAGCTTTCTGGTCATGTGTGCTGCTCTCATTGAATTAGCATCATCTTTTTATATCAAGGAAAATACCCAATCACACAACTAGATGTCCCTACAACAAAAATCAACCTCCCACCTGTTGCTGTTTCCTTATTTGCAGACTACTTGCTAATGCTAATCCGTTTTTTTTCTCTTTCTGTGTCCTAGACAGCCTGCAAAGATCTTAAGTAAAATGAAGCCTCCAAATGGCTTTACACCTTGC